GTGCCAGAAGTGAATGCACCTGAAGCCAATGCAGCACCAGAAGCAAATCCGCTGCCTGAAGCCAATGCCTCTGCTCTTGTACCTCCTTCAAGGCCACACACCATCGAGCAAGCATATGATCGTGGACAGCTTGTTACCGTCCGCTGGCCAATCCTGGTTCCTCCGCCTGCTCCCGGACCTTAGTTTGCCTATCATGTGGAGCACATGCCTCAGGTCCAGAAGCCAAAGCCAAGGCTACCACGATTTCCAGGTACTGCAACTTCACCAGGATCCATTTAATCTAAATGGATTCAAGGCACACAACACATTCTTCGATAGTGACAAGAACCCCTACACAAGGCCAAGAATCTCTTCGGACCGATTCTGGAGTTATCAGCAGCGAAGCTATTATTCATGCATCTTGTACAATGAGGGACGCATCTTCCCTCATATGCATCTTGATTGTGAAGCCATTGCTGGACTGCCATGCCTTGAAGAAGCCCTTGACTGCTTCCGTGATGCGGGTCTGCTCAACTTTGTGACTGCAAAGGAACACTGGAATGAAGAACTTCTGCTTCAATTCTATGCTACCCTCCACATTCGTGGATACAACAGGGATCCGAAGACTTGGATCCTTGAGTGGATGACAGGCGATCTTCATCATGAAGCTAAAGCCCAAGACATCATTGAGCTCACAGCCCTGCCCACTCCTGGCGAATATTATGAACCAGGTTGTCAACAACACCAGAATGCTTTGGAGAGCATTTTCCAGAAGCCAGAACCCAACATGAGCCAAATGCTGAGCATGATGAAGCCTTTGCCTCACGATGTTGAATACCCAACCAAATTCTTTGTTGAAGACCTAGAGTATCTGCCCCGCACCATTTACCACATCATCAGAAAAACTCTATGGCATGTCAAAGGACATTCATCTGCAACGAAGCTTGAAGGAGCAATGAAGACTTTGGTTTTCTATATCTTCAATGGCATAAGCTTCAATGCTCAAGACTTCTTCATCAGGCAGTTGGCTGCAGCTGGCTCCGACATTTTTGGTCTAAAATTCTATGCTCCATGGGTCATGCGCCTTATCAAGCTTCACTCCGCCTTCAACTATCAGCCGTCTGCGCACAATCATCTTGTATTCTTGCCAGAGGTTGATCTATCTGTTGAAGCTATTTACCCAGAGCCTGCTAAGGATCCAATCTATCTTCACAATGTTGATCGTCAAAGCTTCACCCAGCCCATTGAAGGAGTTCAGGCAGTCTCTCGTGTTTATCCCTTGGCTGGTAACACATGTGCCCCTCGCGCCCAAACTGACGCAACTGGAAGCACCATTACCCAAAGGCCTCGGAAGTGATCTCGTGTTCTTAATGACCGAGAGCTTCTCGTCGCGCTACATCAGAAACAGGATAAGCATCATGACTGGCTTAAGCGTCAGATGCAAAGCCTCTTGGTGGACGTCAATCGCATTCGCAATCTTGCCACCAAGAATGCCTTTGTTACACATGAAACCTGTCGGAGGTCTTGGAAGAGTTTGACTTTGCTCACTGCTGAACAAGATCTTCACGACGATGGCTTTACAGAAAGATTCAAGTTTGACTCCACTCCTCCAAGGAATGCTCACTTGCGTCGGACTCCCTCCCTTGAAGACTCTGAATATTCTTCCTGAGCTGCAACGGTGAATGCCAGAGTTATCGATGATCAAGATGATGCCACTTCACCACCTCCACCTTCAGCACGTCTCGACACTACACCAAGTTCTTCTGCACCACCGGACCTCAACGACGACCCTGCTGCTTCGCCTACTCCTCATGGGAACGAGTAGAAGCTCTATGTCTTCAAACCTTTTTGGTCATTACTGACAAAAGAGGGACAAGCATATGAGTTGATAGTCTTCAAGCGGGTCCATATGGGTGGTTGCTTTACTTTTTGCTACTTTTGCCAAGTGCTTACAACTCTCGCTTTTGAAACATTTGGTTCGTTTTGAGTTGTAACACTTAAACTTGATGGTCGTCTGCTACCTTTTTCGACACTATGTGATGCGATGATAAATTCCGCATGTGCGACGATAAATTCCGCACGAAGTCATTTGGCAGACGTCCATTTTCCATTATGCATGTCATTATCTTCGGTATAACCTTTCATGCATGATGAATTGTCTTCATAAGTAAAAGAGGAGCTCCGCAAGTACAACCTGCCATGTGCATTTGCATTCAAAAGCAAATACTTATATGCACATCTTCAGGGGGAGCCTTTTCCTGCTACTTACGAAGACAATACTTAAATCCTTTACAAGTTCACATACTTTTATCCCCGTTGAAAACTTCAACTAGTTTGTCATCAATCACCAAAAAGGGGGAGATTGTAAGTGCATCTAGTGCCACCCCTTGTTGGTTTTGGAGTATTGACGACAAACCTGGTTGAGGGACTAATGTGTTTGTGAGAATTGCAGGATAACACAGGTAGAAGTCCCTCATTGATTCGGTTTTGCTACCGGAGATAACCCCTAAAAATGAATGAAGACATTGAAGTCAAAGGTGGTATGTGAAGACATTCACATTGAAGACTATGACAAGAGAAGACATCGCGTGAAGACTATGGAGCGCGAAGACTTAGTTGTTTCGTCGTTCTTTTTCTTCTTTGTTGAGTCATAGGAACCACCGTACTATTAAGTGGGGTCCAAGTGAACCAGTCAGAATGATTGAAGTGATGCTTAACCAAAATCCTATGTCTTCGAACGAAGACAATGAGAGCAAATCTTATCCAGAGTTGGATAAGTCAGCTTTGCTCGTAGCTCAAGTAAAGTTGCCGTGTATGTTTGAAATCTGACTGTTGGAACACGTGTCAGTTCCTTAGTGACCCAGGGTCATTTCAGACAAATCAGGTCGGGTTGCCTAGTGGCTATAAATAGCCCACCCCCTACACCATAAATTGGTTGGCTGCTCAGAGTTAGTGCACGGCTTTTATCGTTTGAGAGCAACCCACCTCGAAGCCTTTGAGAGAGAAATCCTTGCGAGGACAAAGCCCTAAACACCCAGAGCCAAAGAGTGTTAGGCATCACTGAAGTCTTCCTGTCTGTGTGATCTGAAGACTTATTACACTTGAGGACTGTGAATCCTCCAGCCGGTTAGGCGTCGCGTTCTGCGCATCCAAGAGTCATTGTGGATCACCGGTGAACGAAGTCTGTGAAGGTTTGGAAGTCTACCTTGAAGACTTACCAGAGTAATTGGGCGAGGACTGGGTGTCCTTAGCTCAAGGGGAATAAGGTGAAGATGCAGTCTTCTGAGTTGAATCTCAGCCTCCCTAACCAGACGTACAGTTGTCACAGCAACTGGAACTGGTCCAACAAATCATTGTCTTCAACGAGCCACTGGTTCTATCCTTCCCATCTCTTTATTTGCAGATTAGTCATTGTGAAGTCATTGCCTATTTGCATTATCTATTTGTCTTCACTGTGTGACTGTTTGTTCTGATTGGCTTCATACTATCTTCCATCCCGATCCATACTGCCTAGCTGCTATTAGTCTTTGTGCTTTCACTTCATTGAATACTTGACTATGGCTTGCCTAGTGTAGTCTACCTTCCGCTGCATGTTAATAGGTTCATTTCTATCGTCTGTCTTCGAAACTTCCATGTTTTGAAGACTTTCGTAAAAATCGCCTATTCACCCCCCTCTAGTCGATCACTAGCAATCTGTACCATCCATGATTGATTTGATGGCCCAGATAAATTTTTCTATTTTTGCATCACAATGCTAGATTCTATTGTAGTTGCTCCCGGATCAAGGGTTTGCTTCATACCGTTTAAGTGGCGTTGATTTGTTCGTCAAGTAGCCAACCCCGTTAGCTGGGATGAGGGTTTTCTTCACGTGGCGTATTCATTCATCAAGCAAATCCTCTATTAGGCCTTGTTCAGTTGCTGTGGTTAGATTCCATGAGTGGTTTCTAACCTCCTAGGAATTAGGTGATCCCCTACTTGTCACCCAACCCCTGCTGTTCCTCATCCACATGAATCCCTATGACCATAACTTGTTCGGTTACTCCCTTCCTATATTCTCTTGGCGGCACATCAGGTCAGATCGGGAGGAGGAGATGGGAAAGAAGAGTGGGAGAGGAGAAGAAGGAGAAGAGGCTTACCGGATGGGAGAGAAGGGAGGGGTGGGGAAGTATGCCACCATCGTCGCCTCTGGATGGCTACATCGCCGCTGCCACTGCCGCCGCCACCGAATCTCAGGACTCGGGAAGAAAGGGCTTGAACCTTTTCTTCTCGCGTAGCGTTTCGTCCGTCGCAGGAGGGATTGGTTCCACGAGTAGAGGGGCAAGGATTATATCCCAGGTAGTTCCACCTGGTTTGGGAGGGATTGGGCAGGGGTGTAGCCCCGACCGGGTTTAACCGAACACACTTATAAAGCAGGCCGAGGTCTAATCCCGGTCGGGCCGAAACCACGGGGTTCGGCGGGGATTGGGCCCCAATCCCGGCAGGGGAGGTGCTAACCGAACAAGGCCTTAAGAAGATTGGGAGGTTAGATTGGGCAACCACATATAAGTGCATGTCCATATAATTCAGAGCCTCAGCCACATTTTTTATTTTGCGCACCACAAATAACGACGTGTGAAAGGTCCTACCAATCATCCAGGCTACCAGTGTTAAATGACATGAAAAGGAGTGAAAGGATTCAAGTCACGGATGTCAAAAAACAAAGGGGTAGAAGTCACCCGTATTTTCCAAGAAACCAAGCCTAACGTCAATACAATAAATTGCTGCTCATCATATCAAAGAAATAATATTTTGGCCTTATTTATATAACTAAGTGGACATGATAACTAGTCCAAAACGTATGATATTTGAAATCATTGTGCAAAGTATCAACAAGTAGAAAGAGCATCCAGGAGGCATTTAACTGGGACATCATTACAAAAACACTGAGCTTGCGAAAGGCACATAACAGATCCACAGCTAATAGCCAGCTCCGCAGTCAAAATTCCAAGCCTCAAGCCTACAGGCACCAAAACACATGTCAATCAAATCAGGGTGTGAACTACAATTTTGTAGCAGAACGAAGAGATTTGTAGAACTGAGTATAGAGTGATAAATACCTTGCTGGCAATGTTACTGGATAGCCAGTCCAGGCCCTCATACAGACCCTCACCGGATGTAGCACATGTGCTCTGGATGTACCTGTTGAAATGAAGAGCATGAGTGGCTTAGAGCATCTCTAGCAGATCCTGTAAAAGCGGTCAAACCTTTATTTTTACAGTACAAGCTGAAAAAAACGTAAAATAGCATATCACGTAAAAAAAATTGCAGGCTCCCGTATATTCGAGCTCCTATCCGTCATATATGGAGGATTTCAGCCATTTTTGAAGGATCCTGTAAAGCCGGTCAACGCCGGAGCTGGGGCCTCGCGACACCATGCATGAGCAGCGAGCAGGCGGAGGAGCTCGTCGGCAGCCGGCCGAAGCATTACCGGAACACGCGGCGCACCGGAACGTCGCCGGAGCAGGCAGCAGGCCACATCAGGCGGCAGGCCGGATCAGCGCCGTTCTGGCCGGCCGGAGTTCGAGTTTGTGCATGCTTCCGTCCTGGGGAAGAAGCGCGAGGAGAAAAAACAAAAAAAATAAACGTTTATGGTACGGGTTTACAGGATCTGTTCCACCCGATGCCTCGCGGTACCGTAAATTTGTTTTAGGGGCCTGTATACTGTTTTCTACAGATGGTGCTTTACAGGATCTGGTACGGATGTGGGTGGATTCCAAAACTTATTCCACTGCAAAAGATAAGCAAGAAAAACAAGTAGGCTTTGCTTACCAGTGACGTTGACGAAGGGAATGTAATCCAAGCTTATCAGTAATTTCAGCAGCATTCATAGCATTTGGAAGATCTTGCTTGTTGGCAAAGACAAGCAACACAGCATCGCGCAACTCATCCTGTCATCAATAATGACTATCATATAATGCAGTTGAACAAAATATCGCTTCCCAACTACACAAATTAAAAGTTACTTAGATGTATGTATGCTAGAACAGGTGCAGCAAAACCATATACTATAGTAACTCTGTACTAGCTAATAGACAACAAAAACTGCATTAACAGGCCACTTCCTAGAGATAATTTTTCCCAAAAAAGGGGTTAAACGTAATAAACAGTAAGTGGTCTCATATGAACGTCCTGTCAAAATAATTGCTTCTTCTCACATTAGTGTGTTATAAATTATGATAGTTCAAACAATGATTATGTTAATCAAGCTCACCAATTGGTTGCTATATTGAATGGATAGCATGATAAGAGTAATCCAGCACAAATGTACCTCATTCAGCATCCTGTGGAGCTCATCTCTGGCTTCAACAACACGGTCCCTATCATTGCTGTCCACAACAAAGATAAGACCCTGCGTGTTCTGGAAGTAATGCCTCCAGAGAGGTCTGATCTGTTCTTACAAGCACAAAGCATCAGCTTAAATGAAATGTAACAATTTGCAGGAAGATTAAGGTAAGGAAAACACTGAATTTACAATACACAGAACACTGCAGCAGGTCATACCTTGTCCTGACCCCCAACATCCCAAACAGTGAAGCTAATGTTCTTGTACTCGACAGTTTCAACATTGAACCCTGCATTTTAAAGGAAACATTGTTACCATGTCATGGTTCAAGCTTAAGTAGAGGCTGTTCAATAAGAACCAAGTGTTCAAAGCATTTTGTCCACTTTTTGTTGATATCAGCCTGTGTAGCTATATGTTCTGTCAGTTATATCATTGCAGAGGCCACAAGTAATGACGGCTTCAGGGCCCATTATAGGCAATCTTTTCCTACATCCTACTCCCTCCTTTCCGGTTTATAAGGCTTATTTCAACCTTTTTGTTTTTCCAATTTAGAGGGCTCATCTCCATCTCATTTTTAGTTTCCAATGCGCATTAAATCTTTGCATGCAAGAATTAAAGAGGAATGGCCAAGCATGCATGCACTGCAATTAATCCAAATTAATGCATGAGTTTAATTGGGGTAGTTTTGTAAAGTACGAGATACATTCCTCCACTCACAAAATGCCTTGGTTGATGAGATTTGAGACTTGAGCCTTATAAACCGGAAAGGAGGGAGTATTATTCAAGCAAGCATTTAATGATTTTGCTTTCTAAATTAACTTCCATTACATAAACTGCCATAGTTATCAAGAGACAACACATACCACTGAATTCATCAACCGCATCAAGACTTGAAGAAGAGGCAACAATTCTGATGGGCATAACAATAGTTCAAGCAGGAAGAATACAGACGAAGTACTACGAGTTTGCAACTTCGTTATCAATTAAGAATTTGAGATTGAGATGTACTCCCTCCTTCCCAAAATAAGTGCCATGGCTTTAGTTCAAATTTGTTATAACTTGAACTAATGCCAGGACACTTATTTTGGGACGGAGGGAGTAACTTTTATAGCATGCGCTTGAAGTAGAGCAGCGATAGGCTGTTCCAACAATTGGCCACCTCAATCGTACGACCTTTTCAGGTAGGGATGCCTCAAAAAACAGTTACATATTTTTAAACATCAAGTAAAATAGGCTCTACCGCTTAGAATTCAGGTTTCCACACTACTGATCCATCAGATCCTCATAGTTCAACTAATAACCTTCTATATACAATGAAAAAAAAACAAATATGTTCAGTTAAGAATGAAGTGTATATGCCCACCTAAACTGTCACAAATTTCGGCTGCATCACCCCCTCCGAATATAAAACCGTTATATAATCCCTCAAGTTCCCAATATCAAAGTATCAAACAGAACACCGCCTAGACCAAAATAAGCTGTTTTGGAAGCCGGTTTTGCTGATGTGGACAGACTGCACATGATCATTGATGCCAACAAGCTTTCCACCAAGTGCGCCATGCCAATATTAGAGCATCTCTAGCCCATTCCCCAAGAGTTATATATGGGCAGAAACTTCCATTTTGGGGAATTAACAGCCATCTTGCCCATCCCCGATTTCCTTTAGCTCCCCAAGAATTAGCTTTTCATCCCCAAAAGATTTCCCTCTAGCCCATTTTTGCTATGAGAAGAGCATTTCTCATTAAAAATGGGGAGGCCACTCCACTCTTGCATTCATGGCATGGCGGCCAATAGCACGACACCAATTAATGAACCGCCTCGATCTCCCCACGCCGCCTCCCAAGTGTTGCCAACGTCCCTCGATCTGCCGGTGCCATCCCGAGCCGTCTTCCCAATCGCCGAGCCCCCGCACAGCTTGCCGATTCCTACCTCGTTCTCCTATCCCTGTCTCAGGCCTTCTTCCCTGTCGCAGCAGCTGCCACCAAAGGACCGCGTCATTAGGCTCCAGATGTAGGGCAAGTGGGTGACGGAGATCCATACCATGGTCACGGCAACGCTGGTGTGGCCTGGCATGCGCCTACGACGCCTTCGTGCTCCAGTTATTCAAGAGCCGCGTGAAGCTTAACTTCCTCGATAACGCCATGGCCACCATCACACCTCCTGTTAGGTACACCTCTTGGGCCAAGGAGCACCACGCTACCTAGCATGTTGATGCCGCCTTGGTGGCCACACTACTCAAGGACCCACGAATCGTCGATGAGAATCATGTGTTCTTTGTGTCCGTGGAAACCACATGCACGATCGAGCACGAGTGTCGCGAGATCACCCACCTCGCCAACGAAGACGACTAGATGTGGTGGAGTCAGCCCACTGCCAGCGACCACGGGGCCAACCACTGCGACGGGGGGAGGGGATGATCCCTATCTACTCTAAGTCCGACTTCTTGGAATTCTCCGAGTAGAGCTCGGGGATGATCCCTATCTACTCTAAGTCCGACTTCTTGGAATTCTCCGAGTAGAGCTCCTCTTTATATATCTAGTATCTAGTTCTATTTAGTTTACGTTATATCTATATCTATATCTATTTACCTACTAATAAAGCAAGGTGATATGCTTAGTTTCGTCCCGTTTAGGTGATTTTATATTTAATCTATATATGCGAGGTGGTACTAATTTGAGGACCTATTTTTGGCTTCTTCCGCTCAGTTGGGCTGAGTCCGCCTATGTACATAGCTCGATTGGGCCTCAACCTAGGCCTGCACTCACGCTCCAGAAGGTAGACGTATTTCAACTTTTTTTTCACTCGGTCGTTTGCGTTTCATGTAAAGCAAACAAATAAAATCGTTTCGTGCCTGCCCAGATTCGAACTCATGTCGACAGAAAAAAGAGCCCAACAAAGCTTGACCGGCTAGCCAACTTAACCATGCCTTGTTCATGCCAAAGTGAAAAACGCAATATTTATTTAATCATTGCACGGGGCTTGCATAGCCTGGACCGCCGCCCATGCATGCAGCCAGGGCCTTGCATTCCTGATTCAGCTGAGTCCGAACGTGCGTACACATTCAATAAATCAGTTAAAGTCCTTGGTACAAAATATGATAAATCAGCCAAAAAGTCTCATCTTGCCTCATTACATCAAATTCTTGTAATTTATATACGCTTGGTTGAGCAGATAATAAGGAAGGTACGCGAGAATCAATGGCAAATAAATCGGTGAAACAAGGAAGGAGGCGCCAGCGATAGAGGAAGGGAAGGAGAGGAGGCGAGGCTGAGGGGCGCCGGAGGCAGCGGCCGATGGCGCATGTCGCCGGATCTGGAGGCGCGTCGCCCTGGCAAAAGGGGATGAAGAAGATGCCTGGCCTTTTGTGCAAATGGGCCGGCCTGCTGGTGGCCCTCTCTTCCTCTGTTATTCTCTTCTTTTTCCATTTGACAAAACAAACAGAAAAGCACAAAGGGCTTGCACAGAATATTTTAAGTGTGCATATTTTCGTGGACTCATTTAAATATGTTTGATCCAGAAAAAATGCAAAGAGACATGTTGATGGGTTTTGAATAAATCGGCAGGACTTGGGCTAATTATTAAAAGGTTATAATCGGTGGCCTCTCTACACCCACATACAGAAATATTCAAAGAAGGGCACCTGGGCTAATTATTAAACATATGTGTTACCATAATTAAATTGAAAACATCGGCATATCTTGTGCATTTCATTGGACGTGAGGGCGTGTTAGCTCGTAGAAACACTCTCCAAGTGCAGAAGCCTTCCTCGCACATGCCCGGAAGAGAACTAATCACCAAATGTGGTTAAGGTATTATGGGCTAGAGACATATGAAGATTTATCACCCGTTGCAACCCACAGGCACTTTTGCTAGTGTGTGTGTGTGTACATATGCATATATATACATATATATATATATATAGGGAAAATACATCCTATCCCCACATGTCTTATATACTACCATGTGGTATTATATATACTACTTTATCAAGTATGTTCATATATTATATACAACATATTTCAAAGTGAGTTACATGAAAAAATTGTAAGTTGGCTCATAGTTTTATTATATTTGTGAAATACGTATATATTTGTACGTAAAAAGGAGCATACTCAAAATACAATGCATACTACCTAAAAAGTAGTATATCTATATCTATACCTACTAATAAAGCAAGGTGCGTTTCTCCAATTTTTTCATCCGTTCACCATCGAAAAGTTTTTTCTATTCGAGGTGGTACTAATTTTTTGTTCATTCTCTATTAGAAAAGGAAAACCGCCCGAATTTCATACATGGGCCGCCAATAGTGTGGCCCAGCAAAGCCAGCCCATTTATTTTCGTGCCCACGTAAGTAGCAAAACTCTATTTATTGCAGTGAGCGTCAAATAGCAGCAAATTCGCACATGGCCACCAAGCTGGGCTGACCCGTTTTCTTTTCCTTTGTTATATTGCAGTGAGCATCAAATAGCAGCAAACTCTATTAATTTTGTGCCCATGCAACTAGAAAACTCCTATTAATCGCACTGAGCGTCAAATATTTACAAATTCGCACAGGGCCCCCTAGCTGGGCTGAACTGTTTTTTCTGGTTCCGTGTTATGTTTCTATTTTTCTTTTTCCATTTCTTTCTTTTTTTTCTTTCCCGTTTCTTTTGTCTTATTTCCTTTCAAGTTTATTTTTCTTTCTCCCTTTTTCATAAATTCAAAATAAAATCGGAACAGTTCATATTATTAGAAAAACTTGGTTTTTTAAAAAGATCCAAAGTTTCAAAATATTTTTTTTTGAAAATGTTCAGAATATTAAAATTTTGTTCTCATTCCAAAATTGGTACAGATGTTTTTTAAATGTTCCATTTTTCTTTGTCTTTCCAAAGTTTTTCGGGTTTTCCAAAAAAAAGCATTTAAAAAATGTTCCAAATATGAACAATATTCTCTTTTTGGTGAAATATTCGCAAATTCAGGATAATGTCCGAGGTTAAAGAAAAACATTTTAAAAAATTGTTCTGAGTGTTCAAAATGTTTTTCCTTTTTCAAAAGCAATCACAAATTCAAAAAATGTTCTTGTTATTTTAAAAGGTTCATGTTTTTAAATTAAATTTTGAATTTCGAACGATTCAAATTTTGTTGTATATATTTAAAAACTTTTTTCCATTTCTATATCTTTTTCTTTCCTGTTTCTTTTCTCTTTCTTTCTTTCAAGCTTATTTTTCTTTCTCACTTTTTTTGTAAATTTAAAATTTTCAAAAAAGTTCATAATACCAAAAAAATTCGAATTTTGAAATATATTCCGATTTGAAAATTTTGAAAAAATTTCGGAACATTAAATCTTTGCTCTCATTCTAAAATAGTCACAAATCCGCATAGGGCGCCCAAGCTTGCGTGAACCGTTTTCTTCCTTTTGGTCTGTGTTATGTTTGTATTTTTCTTGTTTTTCCCGTTTCTTTTGTCTTTTTCCTTTCAAATTTATTTTTCTTTCTCCTTTTCTCATAAATTCAAAATTTTCAAAAAAGTTAAGATTATTAGGAAAATTGGAATTTTTTTAAAAATGTCGAAAATTTGAAAATATATTATGTTTTGAAAAATGTTTGAAATACAAAAAATGTTCTCATTCCAAAATTGGTATATATTTTTATACACGTTCCATTTTTTTCTTGTGTTTTCCAAAGTTATTTGAGATTTTCCAAAAAAATCATTTTAAAAATGTTTGAAATATGAAAAATATTCTTGTTTTGGTGCAATGTTCGCAAATTCAGAATAATGACCGAGTTTAAAGAAACACATTTAAAAAAATCTGAATGTTCAAAATGGGTTTCCTTTTTAAAAACCAATCACAAATTCAAAAAGTTTTCAAGTTATTTTAAAAGGTTCATGTTTTCACATAGAAGGGACATTGGTGTCTGGTGATGTGCTAAATATGCTAATGAAACATGATTTATGCGCTACAATTAGTAATTCATCCTGTTACGCAATCATAAGAGAGAATGGTCGAAACTACCGTGCCCCGAAGGTCGCCGCGTAGCTACCAAATGAGGAGGTAGACACAACCCCGACACAGAGGCGGACCCGGGGAAAAAAAGGCACAAGTTAGATGGTTGCCGGCACACCGACTAATCCCACCACTATCAAGATCTCACAGGACAAACATGACCCGCGAGAAGTCCACAACACCTCTCTCTATCACATCGCTATGCTGATCGTTTTTCTTTGACATGTTATGGTGATCTTTTTGGTGGACACATCAATTATCTCTCCCATTGCTTCCGGCAAAGAAATATCTCTCCCGTTGCAACGCATGGGCATATGTGCTAGTATACTACCTAAATATTCTTATATACTACATACTACGCGTACATACTCTCCGATTTGATAAATACTACTTAGAACTCAAGTGGTGGTAATTACCACCGGTGGTAGATAAAATTAGATATATATATATATAGGTGCGCTAAAGTGAGCCCGAGCGCATTGTGCTTATTCTACGCTCCGACCCATGGAGCGCACCTTGTCTGCTAATCAGTTACGTCATTCTTTAATTAGCGCAGCCACATGCATGCATATGGTAAATAACTTAATTCATTTACTATGTTTGGCCGGCGTTTTACTAGCATGCGAGTCGAGGATGCCAGACGGAGTACATTGCAGGTTGGCTGTAATTCATTTAATCCTGTTACTATATTTAGCATGGTTTTTTACTAGCATGGGAAACAAGAATAAAGGACGGGACCAATGCATGCGGATGATAACTGTTTTAATTCGGTTACCATTCCTACCATGCTTTTTACTACCATGTGAAACAAGAGTCCATAAGATGTAGGATGCAGACATGCAGTAACCCAATTTGTTCTATTACCAAGTTTTTCATGAACGATTACTAAGTTACTATAATTCTCATGGTTGATTACTATATGCCATTCCAAGCAGGCATATAGAAAGAAAAAATGGTGATGGGACCATGCACCTGCATGTCCAGCCAGTAACCAAATTAAATATGTTACTACTTTTTTCATGGTTGATTATTGTGTATCATTATGAGCATGGATGTAAAAAAGACAAATGGTGGCAGTGCGTGAACTAGTGGGTGCAGATAGTAACTGAATTTATTGGGTTACTATATTTCTTATGGTTGTTTACGATGTGTTGTTACAGCCATGCATATAAAAAAAGAAATGGTGGCGGGACCGATGCATGCAGATGGTAACCGAATTAATTCTATTACTATATGTTCCACAGATTTTACTAGCAGGTGGAAGAATAATGCCGATTAAGCCGAACGGTGCGTGCGACACAGGCGGAGCGCAGAATAAGCGTTTTACGCTCCCACTTAGTTTAGCGCCACCGTTAGTTAGTTAGTTAGTTAGTTGGTTGGTTAGTTTGATGTCAACGTAGTGGTGTAGTAGGTAATGACTGTTTAACTATGCTATGTATGATGTTGATGTGGTACTGTTGTTTAACTATGCAATGAAGTAGTTCAAATTTGTGTTTGAAAAATTCGCATGCATTTGCGGGGTCAAGTCTTGAGGGTGGGGCTAGACAGACAAAAGTTCAATTCCCTAAAAAATGAGGAATTAAAGGATGGGGAATTAAAAAATAGGGGATTGTCTAGAGATGCTCTTGTCGATCTTGGTGTCACACCACCATCGTGCTGCACCATGACCTTGCTGACCATAGCATAGCATCCACCACGGTCGAGGCGCACCCACCGCGCCATCAGCACTAACAAAGCTCCGCTGAAGCTCTTTACGTACATTGAGGCGAACGGCGACGTGGGGCCATCGCAGTGGTACACAAAGCCCTTGGCGAACTGCAACATTTGGTGGACATGGCACTGGCTCAGGTATGGCAGGAGCAGAATGTGCCCTGCTGCCGACAATGACTCCTTATGCATCCTTGCATTGAGAAACAACGCAACCGACTTCTTATGCATACTTGCGACGAGAAACAACATTGGGTGGACGTGGCACTGGCTCGGGTATGGCAAGAGCATCATGGCCCCCAATGTCAGTGTTGGCTTCTTATGCGTCCTCACGATGAGAAGCCATGGCTACTTAGCTAAGCTAGTTATGTGTCACAATACTAGCGGCCAACGTTGCTAACCAAACATATGAAGAGGAGGCAAGAGGCCCTTCAGCATCGCTCACTGCCAAGACAAACCACTACATCTTGACACTGCCAAGACATTTCCCTTCATCACACAGCCGCCAGCCACCGCGCTCGGCAAAACCCAGTACCCCAACTCCCATATCAGCTGACACCCTATCAAGCTGAATAATGTCAACGAAGCACACAAGTGAGAGGAGCCACCAGCACACACACTCAAATCATTGTACCAGTCTAGGTAAGTCAAATCACGCTGGCACCAAAACAACGCGGGAGAAGGGGTTTGAGTCGACGAAGGACAAGCCGGTGCTACGAGTAGCGGTGTCGTGGTCCGCAGGAGGTGAGCCCTTTGTAGTGGTGTCGTTGTCTGCAAGAGATCTTAGCGCAGCATAGCTTGCTCCGATGCAAGCAGGTAGGTGCACAATTGCAAACAAGGACAACAAGAAGTGGGTGCACACCAACAGAATGATGAAGAGCAAACGGGTCACACTGGTGCTGACGTACGCGTTCTTCGAGTGGATCATCTCATAACGCTCCTCCCCTGCATAGCATCTTCTCCTCCTTATAGCACAGACTGCTCCTACTCAACAACCGAGATCCTCTTCCCAACAGCATGGTGTGGGTGCCAGCTTTAGCGTCTAGACTACACCGCAGAGATGTTGCGCCTGACATGTGCTGGGACTGCGAGGCAGCTTTTCCAGGAAGGCACTGCTATAATGGATGAGGCAGAGCAAGCTCCATATGGTTCCCAGGATGATGTGCCAATATAAGTTAAACAATAAATCCTAGTCCGCATGCTATGCGGGTCAAACCATAAAACTTCCACACACAAAAAAGCATCTTCAAAACGAACTTGGAGGTCTGCGATCAGGTGTGTTGCCCTGTTTTGGAAACTTGAGGTGATTATATAACCAATTTTAGAGTTAAGGTGGTGATGCAATCAAAGCGTGAAAGTTTAGGGGGTACATCAACTCTTTTCTTTGGTTGGTTGATTAATTACATGGCATGCCCTAACATATTTTCGTTTTTTCCCAGCTATTGGTTAGCCAAAATATTGGCTAGAGATACCTTGACCTTATTGGCCAAAATTTTGCACCAAAAATAGTTCTGAAAGATTAGCATGTAAACAAGACGAGAAGCACATCTTACCTATGGTTGGGATAGTGGTAACGATCTCGCCGAGCTTCAGCTTGTAGAGGATGGTGGTCTTTCCGGCAGCATCAAGACCGACCATGAGGATCCGCATCTCCTTCTTGGCGAAAAGCCGGCTGAAGAGCTTCCCGAACGCGAGCCCCATCTCGCCCTACCCCTCTTCCGAACGCCTGCAATTCGCGACCATTACTCGCTCAGATCTCCATTACGGGATCCAGCCCAAAAAAACAAACGGCTCAATACACATCCTCATGCACAAATCTAACCCCACGAATCGGATATATCACACGAAAGTCGTATGGATAGTAGAATCACAAACTACACGCGCCCAAATAAATTCGAGATCCGCGAATGGGGTGGGTTAGTGGGACGAGACTTGCCTGCTCCCCCGTCGTGTCCCATGCTTCCCTCTACGTGTCTTGATTTGATTGAAACAAAATAAGACCCAGCCCCACCCTCTTAAAATCAGAGGGAAGATGATTAGATTAGAAAGAAAAAAGAAAAAAAAACAGCTGTAGGATGAAGTTTTTTTTTTTTTGAGAAATAGCCGTAGGATGAAGTGGGAGCACGGATGGAAACACAAGGAGGGAGTAGGCAAGCCGGATCCGGATTAGTTGGATGATTAGAGGGACTGTGGTATCCTCGGTTCATCAGGGTTCAAATCCTGATGCTCGCATTTATTTTGGGATTTATTTCAGGATTTCCGGCGATGCGCATTCAGTGGGAGAAGACGTTCCCGTCGATGATGAGATGCCTTCGATAACTTCGTAAATTTTTAAAAAATATGTCGGCTCAGTCTTTCGAAGATGCTCATAGGGGTAGGGGATGCGTGTGTGCGTTCATATGTATAAGTGTATGCGCGTGTATATGAGTGTTTGTGTCTGTACTGATGTTCAAAAAATATATGTGCATTGCCACGGACGATAAAAACGATACGATATTATTAGAATATTAGGTAAATTCATGATTAATTTCAGTAAATAATTTATAACTAGAACAAAAACTAACATGCAAGAAGCATATTAGATGAACAGAAAAATATGCACAGCGGCATCATGCATGTAACAACAATTATAAATAGAGAATGAACAGATCAGGAAGGACGTAATATTCGTTGAGAGCGATGTTGTTGATGACGATCTGCTATTGACGGGCTTAAAGACAATGAGTAGCGTTGTTGACGGGGTACTCGAAATCAGGTACTCTAATCCTCAGTAAATGTTAATTAGTATGTAGTGCTATTAAGTCGCTCGTGTCGCCCCACCCCGCAGGCGATCCGGGCGAAACCTAGCCGCCGCACCAGCCTCCTCCAGATCCGCCCACCTCCCCTCGCCGCCGCCGGCAAGCGCCGTCGGGCAAAACTCGCGCGACATCGGTGGCGGGGGGGCCTTCCTTTTCTTCCCTCTCGCGAGGCTATGGCGGTGCGGGGCCGCTCGGCCAAGGAGAGGCGCGGGGGCGTGGCGCACGCGAGGAGCAGGCGTGGTCGGCGCGGCGCGCGCGGCGAGCGGGCGTCGGGACGCTAGGCAGGCGCGGCGAGCAGACTGCGATGCACGCGGCGGGCGTGGAGTGCAGGCGGCGGCGGGCGGGCGCCGCCCGCTCGGGCGCCGTGGGGGTGCGGGGGCGTTGCGGTCGGCTTTGGCCAGATCTGGCTTCTGGCAACCTGTGGCTGGAGGGCTGGCTCGAGGAGGCACCAGGCGTCGTTGGAGAGTGGCTGCATTTCGCGCCTAGTCCGGCGACGTGTGGTGGCTGCAGCGGTGGTGTTGGGAATGGCTGGTGGTTGTCTCTCCTTCAAGCGCGTCCACGTCCGGCTCCTGGAGCTGTGGCGCCATTCAGTTTGTCTTGTGCTACAGAAGGTTCGGGCAGGCCAGATCTAGCATGGATAGTCCTGTTCTTGCGCGCGGCGGTGCGAGCCACACAGTCTGGCCTGGATCCTGCCAAGTCCTGCGCGCGGTGGTGCGGATCGGCTATGTTTGGTTTCTCCCTCGACCTTTCCTGTGCGCTGCGGTGCGGAGGATCGCCTAGGTCTGCGCACGGAGGTAGAGGATGGCCAGATCTGGCTTGGATCGCCGAGGGCCTGCGAGCGGCGGTGCGGATCGGTCGGGTTGGCGTGTGCTCGCCGAGTTCCTGCGTGCGGCTTGACCAATTCGTCTCTAGTAGTGTTTGCTTTGGGCTCATGTTGCACTGTGGCGCTGGTGGCCTCGGATCCTTGGATTGTTGGTGGAAGACTCGGCTCCGGATGAAAATCATGCATCGACTCTGTCGTTGCCGACGGTAATGGCGTGTACGGATGTCGTCTTCCTCCTTGGAGGTATCGTTGTGGAGCCGTTCCCTTCCTTCCCAATAACGTGAGATCTCCGGGTGAAAACCTAAGATCAGGCAGTGCCAGATCGGGTGACGATGGAGTCCTCAGCTTCGTTTTCCTCTTTGGAGGTGTCACCTTGGTGATCCCGCCGAGGGGTTCTGATGGTGTTCGCGTTTGATGGTAGAGCTTGGGTTTGTGGTGCTGCCGACGGGTCCTTTTCTTTCTTTTCTTTTTGCGCTGCCTTTGCGGTGCTTTCCTCCTCTAAGGAATCTTGTTACACCTTCTTCTGATCAATGAATTTGGCAGTTCTCCTGTCAACATTAAAAAAAATCCTCAGTAAATGGGTCTCGTTGGAAATACCTTATCAGCCTAAAACTTGAAAAAGATTTATTTACCACTAACTGCAGTTTGACACACCGAGATACACACAGATACATGGCTACCACGACCACATAGGCCACAAGAAATCACCAAGGAGGCAGATCCGCAGATGACGCCAGCCAGCGGTGATGAAATCAGGGGTTGGAGTCCTAAGCATCCAGGACACGCGTCATAAGGGCGGGCGGCCCTTGCGGAGCACTCCATTGACAGGGCATTTAATATCTTGTCAGACTATCCGACCAAACCCGGCGCAAACCAATGACGAGAGGCCATCTTCACGATGATCGAGGGGATGGGCGATGTGACCAGACCCTGCCACGACCCCGAGACCGAAGAAGAGTGGTGTTGTGACACCTCCGTTTATAATCATGCACTAATCATACATGTATCAAGCACGATCACGAACGGTGACTCACGTTAATATCACAACACAACTCTACGACACAAAGGATAAACATAAAACTTTATATTACAAGCCAGGGTCTCGATGACCCAAAAACATAAGTGATAACCCACAAGTATAGGTGATCGCAACAGTTTTCGAGGGTAGAGTATTCAACCCAAATTTATTGATTCGACACAAGGGGAATTATTCGACACAAGGGAAGCCAAAGAATATTCTCAAGTATTAACAGTTGAGTTGTCAATTCAACCGCACTTGAAAAACTTAATATCTGCAGCAAAGTATTTAGTAGCAAAGTAATATGGAAGTAACGGTAACGGTGGCAAAAGTAACAGTAGTAGTTTTGTAGTGATTGTAACAGTGGCAACGGAAAAGTAACTAAGCAAAGATCAATACGTGAAAAGCTCGTAGGCATTGGATCAGTGATGAATAATTATGTCGGATGTGATTCCTCATGCAACAGTTATAACATAAGGTGACACAGAACTAGCTCCAGATCATCAATATAATGTAGGCATGTATTCCGAATATAGTCATACGTGCTTATGGAAAAGAATTTGCATGACATCTTTTGTCCTACCCTCCCGTGGCAGCGGGGTCCTATTGGAAACTAAGAGATATTAAGGCCTCCTTTTAATAGAGTACCGGACCAAAGCATTAACACTTAGTGAATACATGAACTCCTCAAACTACGGTCATCACCGAGAGTGATCCTGATTATTGTCACTTCGGGGTTGTCGGATCATAACACATAGTAGGTGACTATTAACTTTGTAAGATATGATCAAGAACTCACATATATTCATGAAAACATAATAGGTTCAGATCTGAAATCATGGCACTCGGGCCCTAGTGATAAGCGTTAAGCATAGCAAAGTCATAGCAACATCAATCTCAGAACATAATGGATACTAGAGATCAAACCCTAACAAAACTAACTCGATTACATGATAAATCTCATCCAACCCATCATCGTCCAGCAAGCCTATGATGGAATTAGTCACGCACGGCGGTGAGCATCATGAAATTGGTGATGGAGAAAGGTTGATGATGACGATGGCGACAGATTCCCCTCTCCGAAACCCCGAACGGACTCCAGATCAGTCCTCCCGAGAGAGATTAGGGCTTGGCGGCGACTCTGTATCTAAAACGCGATGAATCCTTCTCTCTGATTTTTTTCTCCCCGAACATGAATATATAGAGTTGGAGTTGAGGTCGGTGGAGCCTCAGGGGGCCCACGAGACAGGGGGCGCGCCCCCACCCTCGTGGACAGGGTGTGGGCCCCCTGGTGTTGATTCTTTCGCCAGTATTTTTTATAAATTTCAAAAATATTCTCCATTAAGTTTCAGATCATTCCGAGAACTTTTATTTCTGCACAAAAATAACACCATGGCAATTCTGCTGAAAACATCGTCAGTCCGGGTTAGTTCCATTCAAATCATGCAAGTTAGAGTCCAAAACAAGGTCGAAAGTGTTTGGAAAAGTAGATACGATGGAGACGTATCAACTCCCCCAAGTTTAAACCTTTGCTTGTCCTCAAGCAATTAAGTTGACAAACTGAAAGTGATAAAGAAAAAAATTTACAAACTCTGTTTGATCTTGTTGTTGTAAATATGTAAAGCCAGCATTCAAGTTTTCAGCAAAGATTATGAACTAGCCATATTCACAATAACATTTAGGTCTCATGTTTACTCATATAAATGGCATAATCAACTAGCGAGCAATAATAATAAATCTCGGATGACAACACTTTCTCAAAACAATCATAATATGATATCACAAGATGGTACCTCGCTAGCCCTTTCTGAGACCGCAAAACATAAATGCAGAGCACCTCTGAAGATCAATGACTGACTAGACATTGTAATTCATGGTAAAAGAGATCCAATCACAGTCATACTCAATGTGAATTAATAGTAATGCATGCAAATGACAGCAGTGCTCTCCAACTGGTGCTTTTTAATAAGAGGATGATGACTCAATATAAAAGTAAATAGATAGGCCCTTCGCAGAGGGAAGCAGGGATTTGTAGAGGTGCCAGATCTCGATTTTTTAAATA